ATCCTCTTTTTGATTTACCATTCGAGTAAGCCTTATAAGGGACTACCTCTTATTTATACTTCACGATTCTCTCAGGAACAATGACGCACTTCGATAAGCATTGAGAAATTAGTGGTTAAATTGTAGTCGGACTTGTGTATATTACAATGACTCTAGGTTAGGTTATAGGGGTGTCCTAGACTATGCCTGACAAGTTAAACGGCGTTCCCGTTATAAATCTAAATCTGTGAAAATCAGTCTCGTAACTATAAATCACAGAGTTCTGACTTTCTCCGCAATAGTTCATCAGACTCGAAATAGTGACGTCATATAGGTAGATTCAATGTTGAACAGTAATACGGAATGAGAAGACGTCACATAAATCTCCATCTTTATAGAAGGATTTATCTAGGATAAACTTAAGGAAGGGCTGTCGCATCATGAATGTTACAAGAGAGTAATGCCATATCCGAGTATTATCTTGCTAGTGAAAATAAGGATACACGCCATGTACTGTTTACTGCAACAATAAAGCCCCTTAACGTAGAAACAATGAAAACAGATCGACAAGTACAATGGTTATGTGTATACAAAGTTTTTTTTTTTTTTTTTTCACTGTCACTCGAAACGGCAATCTCCGTCTGCTATCCTTGTATTTCAGTCTGTAAAAGAAAAAGAACCGAAAAAAAGTCAAATTCTTTACGCGAGCATTCCCGAAAATTACATGGCTCAGCGAAGCGCATATTACCCTCGCTATACGCAATGTACGTTATGTGGATACAACGCTTGAAAATCATACAGTCGTATATCTCTGGTACACGTGAATCATAAAGAGTTCCCGTTGGCAATCAGAATGAAAAAAAAAGATACTTTTATACGTCCTAGTACAAAGAGAACGGTAATAGGTGCATATTCGAGAAAAAGAGCAAAGAAATAAACGAACGCAGAGGGAATGCATATACCTCGATAATGCTTATCTCGAAGAGTGCAGCAAGAGTAACGACCTTTAACGCTAACAAATTTTTATGCTATCAATATCGAAGGGGGATGAAGAAGGAACTTGTATGATGCAGTTCACCCCCTATGTATTATGCAGTTCATTGTAAAGGAGGAATTACGTCTATCTCGTTCCCATACAGGGATACACGAAATGTATCTTGTATACCTACGTATGATCAAGGTGGAGTAACTCAAACGAACCACTTACCCCGAGTACCGTACCGGTAATTATTTAAACGGAGCCATTTATTTTTCAGACGATAGTAATCAAGCCAACACGACCTGGCGCACCTATCCATTGTGCGGACGTGCGTACATCGGAAAGGTGGTGCAACGTAGTCAGGAGTTCAGGGGAAAAGACGTGAACTTGATACTTCTCTTTTACTTCATTCTTACAAATCATACGATACGCATTCAAATTCACGTGCGTTACTCAAACATATAGAAGTACGAGATATAACTGCAGTTATATGGCGATATTTATTAAGTAAGCCACGACTGAATGAGCTATCTGTATTTCTTTACGATTATTATTGTTATGTTATGAGGGAAATAAATTATTTATCAATGTTCAAAATAACGTGATACATAGCATGTTATATAGGGAGAGATAATCAAACTCGAATCGGTAAAGATGTTCGTGGAATTAATAGGTTCTTACGTAGGCATAATGGAAATCGATAATTAATTGATCCACTACAGGGCGCGACCCTCGAAGAGAGCACTAATTGACTCTTGAATATTTATTATTTAGTTCGTTAATGTTCGTTGCAAGGCGGATGGGGCTTTCGTTCAATGAACCCTTTCTCACAAGAAAAATGGCCGAAACGTCATTTTTTTAATCGTATACACTTTATATGCAGAGGACCCTGTATGTGATATATATATACGTATATAGCACTAGAGGAAGTAAATGAATTAATAACTTTTAAATTGAGTTGTACTAAATATAGGTAAATTAAGTTTCGCTTGTTATAAGAAATAATTAACTTTACAAAACTTCCACTCGGCATTGTACCCTTGTGTGTATATACAATATACTCTAGCGGCGGTTCAGGTTCTACATGCGTTACAAAGCCAATAATTCCTTAGGGTTTATGATATTATTAATAACCGATAAACCAATTACAATATTAACGGGTCATTCTAATTTATGACCAGGTACTCTGCCCACTCTGCAGTTTCCTAAGCGTAATCAGATACCGTAGAAGACCCAAGGCTCCTCTCGTACTATGTACACAGCTGATATTGACTATAGTTGTATTCCAAAGTATTTAATATTCCGATATGCATTTGCTAATGCACCCGCTAACGAGCACAGTTTCCTATGTTCAATTTATAGAGGTATATTTTTCATGGATTTTATACATACATATATATTCTACGTATATATGTATATTACCTTGATCGCAATTTTCTTATGTGTAATGTATTTTTTTTTGAAATACGTACCGACCCTATTTCGAATATCGGATTAATTATGGCCGACAACTAATTAAAGAAATTCAATGGGATTCAAGTGCCCAGGTAAATTACCAAGAGATATCTTTCTCCTTGGAGATGACACTGTTTTTTTAGCTACGTAATTACATAATTATCCTTGATTAGTCATGGTACTCATACTGATTGAAGGCGATCCGGGAAATTGCAAGAATAGATTCGGCTCATTATGTCATTAGTAACGACCCAGTCATTAGCTTTGGACACTCTCATTTATTTCTATGGTATATGAGTAAGACGTATCTCCTTTGTGCAGTCGCCATTTTCTTGGATTTACCTCACAGCAATTTCCGCCGTTGAACCTATTTCTGATCTTATTGATGGACTTATTACGTATAGTTTTTCTCCAAGAAACCAAGTTACGTAAGCAATGCTCAAATTCCATTTTGAAAGATTGAACTATAAGTGTATTCGACGCTTCGTCTGTTTTAGCTGTATGAAAAGTATAGAATCTTGTGTAAATTTTTCAAAAGAATTCAAAAATATTTATGGCAACCTATCCGTCTATTTTAACTACAGACTGCAAATTCCAAGGAGGAAATGCAGGATGGGTCTGTAGCTCCTATCTCGCAGAGCTCTAACACTATGCAGCCTCCGTTTTATCAACATATCATCGAGCATCTGGCGTGTACATGCCGTGTATATTTTTTGCAAAAAAGTCCACAGCAGCAGAAGCAGTAGCATAGAAAGGCACCAGCACGGACACGCGGGCGCAATGTGGGAGAGCCTGAACCATAGGATGCACGTTTCTTGGTGTAATTAGATACGATCTTCAGGCTTATTTCTAAGCGGACTTAGTTTGGCTAATCCGAAGTTTAAAGTCTCGCTTGTTGTAACGATCGTAGAGGGTCGTTCCCTTGTTAGAGTCGCTGTGACCAGCTATACCGCGTTATAGATATATCGTGCAAGTCCGACCATTCGAGGATTTACATATTCATGACATTGTTGGGTCCACGTTACCAGCATAGTTAAATCTGTTTCGACAGTCGGCAGATTTTGAAAGACCAAGTACACCCATTCGAACTGGAACACTAGTTCTATTGTACGTACCCAGTCCCAGGATCAGGATACACATGCGACACAGAGCGGCAAGATGAAACCCAAACCCAAAACTGCATTCCAATTAGCACCTAAACCCTTCTAACCATAGTCCCATGCTTATGCAGCTAGTTTTATTGTCTTCTTCCTGTAACTAAAATGCAGCAAGATAATTGGATATAGTCCCAAAAACCGCGGCCCACGCTTTTTCCTATCTGATGATCTTGCCCTAGATAGGACCAGTTCTAAGAAGCCCAAATATGCATATGGTATTCGTTCACATAAGAAAACCCGTATAGTCGACATCAAAAGATCTCAGTGCGAGATGAAGCAGCTTTATTGATTTCAATGAGTGCTCGATAAAATTCTTAATTAATAAACGTCCGTATAGCATCGTTAAAAAACCAACCCAAGTCGAGTCCTTATACGCGTACAACGTATATTTTACGAAGACATACCCAGTTTTCTCTTAGATCAGTATTGTCTAGAGAACGTTGCTTAGTGGGTCTGACCGATCAGTAGTAAATCCTCTAGAGCTTCGGGCATCGTTCCAAACCTGAATGACGCCTACGCGCGTCTACGCAACTAGCGTCCCGATGCACTCGGGCAACATTCATTCATTCATTCACGAGTATATCTCAGAGCTGTCCGTGGCCTAGACCTATGGATGGCACTTATGTAAAGAGGCCTACACCCAGAGAGATAAACCAATACGATTTAGAGCCGTCCATGTAAATGAGGAATATTAGTCAAATAATTAATTAGCATAAATGCAAGCATCACGACGATAATTAATCAAAGTACAAAGCTGGATCCATTCAAGTCGCAGGAATTTGAAGAATATCAATTAAATACCAACATACTCAGTATAAACAATACTATTTACCTTCAAAGCTTCTACTCCAACGAACGTGACTGGGTAACCCATTAATTTACCTGAAGCAATGTGGACAGACGACTTGCAAGATTCACTTTCTTCAGGCAGAAATAACCCGCGTACTATACACGTAACACGTAACTGTCTACCCACGCTGAAGTAACGACCCGTGGGACCGCTTCCGAGTTGAACTTGTCTTACCATAATAAGGTGCACTGATATAGGTACCAACCCACTAAAGCCTGGGTCAATGTTGTCCTCGTGAGGGTTGGGTCACAACAGACGGTTTCCCACAGTAGGAGAAACGCTTGAGTTGGGTAGTTAGATAAATATTCTAGAGATGACGACCGTCCTGTGGTTTCTAACTAATTAATCGTGTCTATCGTTCTGGTGTACATACGTCCATAGGTATATGTATATGCTACGTGCACTAACGCACATGACACGAAGATACGTTACTGATAGTCAAAGTGAAAATAACGTGAAGAATGCAATCGGGAATGCAGTTCTGCAATATTGATTAATCGGGTGCAGAAAGGATTAACTTGTAATCGATTCACAGTAATAATTCGACACTATTTTAACGAATTGCACCTCTTTGTTCCAGGTCGCTGGTGTTTCTCATATTTATTGCATCGACGCACGTGACAGACACCCTAGCGAAATACGTGAGTATACAGATACGGCTTTGTCCAGTCCAGCGCGTCTATACGAGACACAAAAGATCGCGAAAGTTCGCATGGCGATGCGTCCTTGACGGGAGGTGCTGAAAGGGCGCCGACGGAACGAGCCCTGGCAGCATTCCTCTAGCTTTTATTGGTATCTCCCTTCGACAACGATGGTTCAGGTTTCGATGGTTCGCCATGTCGGCCAAACTATCCGTGGTCCAATTTGCCCTTCCTGATCCACGAAGATGCTGCAAAATTTCCCTTTTTTTTTCTAGATGCAAAAAAGAATATATTTACACTGCTGAACTTCGTCCTTGATCTATGGCTTTTTACATAATCAATTTTCAAAACTTCTCCTATATCTATTTATAAGAACATTTTCGACACAATGCAAATCCATTAATGAACCATCGACCCCTACTGAAACAGCAAGAAGTTCACGACCCATTAATCGACAAGACCTACCTATACCTAGAGTATCCGTGATGACCTCGCTTACCTTCAACCCATCTTAATGCGATGGACTTTGAAAAAATATATGAAAAAAATCATAGAAAAAGATGTCTGCGCAACGTCAGGATCCTTCGGTGAGTTCGACGAGACTCGAATAGCCGCTATAATATACGAGTGAAAAATAAGGGCTGCGAGAGCCTGGGATAAGAGACAGGCGCATGATAGAGACTCTAGTTCTACGGTAACCGCAGCAATATTACTGTGTGCTCTTAGGTGTATGCAAGAAATAACGCCGTATCGTGTTACTCGTGTTCTTAGGGTGGCTACCTCAGGCAAAGACCTTGAACTTTTCCTACTTTATAAGCGCGCCAAGTGCACGTACGTGCAAGTACATTATGAACACCATAGATCCAGGACGAAGTGCAGTAACGAGATTATTAGCGAAGGTAAAAGTTTAACTGAAAGTATACATATATGTATAAGGCATATATAAGGTATAAGCCCTATAGCGTTTTTATTCCCGTCAACGAGCATCTCGTTAGACAGCTCACCTAATCTGAGTTAAGTGCTCGTATTAAAAGACTCCGTCCCTAAGAAGCTCAATGCGTTTTTGCATCCTTGGGTCGGCACCAATAAGAATTCAAGAAAGAACAAACCATTCTCATAAACATGAAGTTTTGAACGGAAATTATACGCGCGGATTCATTGAACGATAAATTATACGCTTCTGGTAATTTCCTCTGGCACGGAGAAAGCGTTACCTCAGTATTCCTATGGCGTTTAGGCGTGCTACTAGGTGAAAACCATCCACGCTTAACTTGGCGTAAACGAGGTACCTTTATGTATGAGTTATTAACGTGGTTATTGAAAGTTTACTTGACTCACGGGGTCACAAGGGCGTAGTTCTATACTATACATATATGTATACTATTAGCCCATAGACATTCATCGTTCTAGATGCACCAAGTAAAGTTGACGGCGCAAATAAAATTTACTAGGTGTAAAATGTATAGGTATCTTACGAAATCAAAATTAGTCACTGGTGGTTCCTGACGAACTCCATTGTCGTTATCGTAGGGTCAGACGAGCGCAATGTGGCAATTATAAAGAAGGCGTGTTGTTCTTCAGCGTTCATGGTTCATCGGCTGACCCCTCTTTTACACTCGCATTGAAATGGCACTTCTACGAACCCTTTAATTAACTGTTTGCCACGCAATCTTATGGGCATTCTCCAATTGTCAAATTGTATTCACACTCGTACCATTGTACTCGAGCACCAGGGAGAACGTCGACGACCATTTCTTTAGCTTGGTCAACCGTTATTCCGGTATAGATACCGAAACTATGTTGTGCAATAGTGATTCATTAATTATTATAAATATTTTAAGTATGTTTATATATGGATATATAGGTCATTATGAGATTCATATATATTTCATACACTCGATACTCGCTAGGTCATTGGATACTTACATATGACCAAAATAGAATGGATGATCATCAGGAAGAATTTTAATTGAAAGTCATCGATCCTTCTATAGGTTCTTTTCACTTTCGTTGAGATTATGTCAATCTTGCCGAAGAGAGCTGGTTTTCATGAGTCACCAGAGAACCAACACAGCACACCGACTTGTGGTCACCATGCGGATCGTTACCCGAAGCGCTGGATTACGTTGCACTGTCAACAGTCTTACGTTTTGTTACGCTCTGATACGTAATAGCAAAGTCAATGTCAAAATTAACTGACGTACGAATTAATATGGAAAACTAATATTGCAATTAATCTTGACGCTTGATGCATGCTAAAAAGTATATTGAAAATTTACGAAATAGAATATTCGATAAACAATAAAAATATAAAGCATAGGCCATCTTGATGATAGTTTATGAGAGCTGATATTAATATTATTAAATACTATTATTATTATTCGTGTAATACTACTTAACTTTGACAAACTGCATTTCTCGAAGACTCAAATCCTAATTTTCCAAGATTCAAACTATACTTGATTGACATCTGAGCCCTACGTCACGTGTCTTTCGGTAGTATCGGTAGTTCAGTAGTTCAGTAGCATCCATATAGAAAGACTAGATTATATACATATCGACTCAATTCAATATGCGACATCTATGAGACAAAAATTTGAACTTAGTAGCAACGATTCTATAAATAAAATCCTATTTCTTCTAGGCGCAGTGATAGGTATCATAAAAATTTGCATATTTATAAATAATACGTTATTTCATTGAAGAACAGCAAATGTCATAAAGAACAGGGCATTGCACTTCCTTGACACGTGTTCGCGAGTTATTAGCATAAATTAGCTTTATACTCACAGCCTAATGTGTACGCGTAAACGCGGCCGTAAACCTTTAGCACTTATAGGGTCATTCAGGATGACAATAACTCAAGTAATTTTCCTTCTTTCCTAAATGGATCGCGTGGCCTAGTAAATCGTGACGCAAAGTACGTCGAGACAGACCGTGTCTGACAAGGTTCTCAGTAGCAAAATTTACTGGCGAGGATAAGAGACAAGTAATAGAAAGATGCAGCCAGATTCGCACTAACGACAATTAATTGCAACCTCATCTAATTGGTATTAAAAGACACGCAACTAGTGGATACGTCTGCTTTTGATGTCGCGCGTTGACTCACTTCTTAATGAAATATTTCAGCCAGAAATGCGTCTGGGAGCTGCGTTGGAAATAACCAAACTTTACTATATATAGTGTGTATACGTATGGTATATATATATATGTATGTCTCGTGCAACGACGTTGTTATCTGTAGCCAGCTGCTTCAGTCAAGACTAACTTAGCCTGCTCTTAGTCACCGTTTAAGGTAATTACATGATTTATTGCCAACTAGTGTGCGATTCCTGATTGCTGTGAGAATTTCGAAAAATTCTATTTTCCCGATGAGATGGAACAGACCGCTACTGTGAAATTTTCATTGTAACGAAATACGTGAATAGCTGACTAAGAAGATATGAAATAGAAGTTAAAGAGCGTAGCATATGCTTCTGTTGGAGCTATGACGAAAAAACGATAGTTTAATAAATTTACGAGCTATAATAACGTTCGGAATGTAACAGCTTTTAAATGGCACTCTTAGACCATTTACAATAAGATAAATCTTCGTTTTGCCTACCTTCCAATGCGATTAATACATTTCTTTAGAATAAATGTAATTTTCAGTAGGAGAATACCTAAATTTGTCTGAATCGATTATTATTTTATAGCTAATCGATGCTAATACTACGAACATAACTTAGAAAATAGTTAAATACAGTTTTCAAAAATTCATTGAAGTTTAAATTCTCGGGGGTGATGGATCGATCTAATTAATTAGTCTCTATAAGGTACGTAGGATCAGAATGGAACTTGAAGATAGAGAAAAGCCAAGAACTCTTGGAAGTTCACGAGCCATTTAATCGAGATAATATTGGCATTGAAATGCATCCGTATAATGCACTGAATGTGCGGTGAAAGAATATTTCGTGAAAGTCACGATCATTCTGTTATCTCATACTTCATCTGCTTAAAGTCAATTTTAATTAATATCAGTAGGAAAGATGTCACGTTTAAATACATATATACATATCAGTGTCAATAATCGGATGGTAGCCAGTAACAAGATGTCAAAATCAATCAGGAGAAATATGACAAATTGTCAATACCGACTAATGAGAGACGATTGAATTGTTAGCCACATAGAGGGATTTTATTATTCACTTTACTATATCGTTTACTATACTATCAATTCATAGGATTATATTTAGCTCCCATAATGTTTCTGGTACTAGCAAGTGCTAATGAAAGCGATTGTACGACAGACATTAATCCTTAATCCGATCAAAAAAATGCATCTGTAATTGCATCTAGATTCAATCGCGCTTTGATGAACCGCTCGCATCGTCCTTCGTTGATTTGTTGTCCTATAAAACGATGCGGAAAAAAAAATCATTCACTCGTAGGACACTTGAATGCATGTTAAAAAATATTAATAAAAACTCATTAACTGGTAGCACTCTTTTATTACACGGAAATGAAAATGACTACATAAGACATCACGATGGCGGCATCCCACGCTCGGTAAAAGTCATAAACAGCTGTTTACTCCTCGAAAAACACACGAGGCCTCGTACGAGTCACGCTCGAGCATATCGAATATTTACATCTTACCAAGTACATACTTACATCTTACCACTTTTTATTCAGCGAGGAAAAAATTCAACGAAAAAGTAGCACCCCTTTGAACCTCTACTCCAGCTGTTCCTCTAATTGGACGTGCTTCGCACGCAGTTAACCTAAATACAGTTAGAATTTAATGACGATATTTTATTAACTAAAATCCCGACTAAGAGCCACAAGGGACTAAGTTTTTTTTTTCAAATATTTTCTAGTACTTGTATAGGAGGTTATTTCCGATGTTCCTTCTCTGCCGTAACTGTATTAATGATTTTCATCTAGATATGCTTTGACGCAGTGCATAGCTAACGACTCGTTAAATTAATACTATTACCATTGTTTGTATAGGGCATCAATATGCAAGTGTAGACGTACGCGATGGCGCATATGCATTATCCACGTGGGTTCAGTCACATGCCTCTTAAAGGGACATACGTAGTGCTGGATTACGAAAAACAGAATTGTCTCACGACCCTTTACGTTTTATTTGCACTTTCCTTATTCGCCCTTATCAGTACCATTATGCACTGCGATTAATGGATCACGTTACAACGTTATACTGTCGTTTCTCTAGGCGCACTGAAACTTTATCTTATTTCTTCTTTTAATGGTGCCTTTGAAACTCATATGTTCACGTGTGTCAATTTGTCATAGAGTAATGTACATTATCTGCGTCATACGCAGCATCCGATTGGCGTTACGTGATTCCTGGACGTTTCCGGTAATTTGCACTTCTGTTACGGTAGAATAAACTGTAAATAATTCAGCTGCAATTGGATTCGACGTTAATCTCTCATTCGATAATAGACGTGTAATTATGTTTGCCTCAACGTCTACTTTCATCTCGCTGCCATGCAATTGTTCGTGTAATTGCGTGACTGAACTGTTCAACAGTGTTCAATGTTTGACCCGACCATCAACTCTTTCATCGCGAATGTATTTTACTATGCGAAATGACCATTGTCCCGGCGGGCATGGAGTTGTATGATAACGAGAGCCGATTTTGGTGCGATTCCATAGCGGTCTAATAATTTTATTGGAAACTGCACTTGCAGTTTACATCCACCGAATGCAAACTGCTTTGGGCACATGCCAGAAGAACCCGGCCATTGAAATGTTATATGGCCACCAGGACTCCGGAACTCCAAGCACTTGACTTGCGCTCCATTTACTCTAAAATTAGTTTTAAGACGTTTTTTTCGCCAGGCTACCAATCATCGACATGCTGTAATTTCCTAGACAATATACATATATTGTATATATATTTTTCATACCTCAACCATTGATAAGTGATTTATAACCTATATTTAACTTTTACTAAGATGTGTTGACGAGTAAAAAATTTAGCAAAATATTTGCAGTCGTACTTACTCAACAATATTAATACGTTTAATCGCTTATTAATTATAGAAATGTATGGGATGAGAAATATATACAGAGATAATAAAGTGATTATACCAAGGATGATTGATAAGACGTTAAAATCTTAAGTGGCAGTACCCGAAGCTTTGATCTATCCGCGTACTCGTTCCCTTACTTCGATCGCATGTACCAAGATAATTAATAATATCCATCTCCCTGTTACAGCACCATATAAAATTAAGGCACGGACGACACAGACGACAACATGGCGAGAGTTACCTGCCTGCAAGCTTTGTGCTCGACTCGGAGGAACCGGAAAGGGGGACCTGGGGCCCTTGGTCAACTCCTAGCTCCTGTTCGCGGTCTTGTGGCGGCGGTGTTGCCCATCAGAAACGACAGTGTCTTGATATTGAGTAAGTTGAGATCTCCAATATTTTTCGTATACAATATCGTCGCACTACTCGTGATTCAACAATTTATAATATACCATAAAATCAGGTACTTGGCCACAGCTGCCGTTTGCCAAGTACACGTTACCCATGTTACCACAATGACTTGTATCGTGATAGAGACAAGATGCGTGAACTGAATAGCTTCTGGCGGACGCAGTGTTGCGCAAGGTGCGCGAGGCAAATTGTTAACCAATAATCAATATTGCATAATGGTAGGAGTGAATTCAGATAATAACACGCTAAACGTAGAAAGCAGAATAATTCGGAGCAGAGAACGGATCTCGAGTGCTTTCGCATTAGATGTACAGCAGCAAAGGTTATTGGGTCGTGGCTTCTATCTATATACATTTCATGGTGGTAGCTATGGGAAAGCACGTAATTTCCATTGATTCGATACGATGGGCAGGGCCAATTGCAACTACGAGATTCCGGGTTTACAGACGTCAAAGATATTTCTTGATATCCCACATTGATCTATGAGAAATCGAATAAAATATGGCTGTACTCATATTCGCCATTACCACACAGGAATTTAGTTTTTCCGCTGCAAAAAAGTAACGAAGAATTTACGACAGCTCTCATAACTACCGCAAGCGTATATACATATATATAGATATATTTCGAGGAATATCCTTTTTTCCTCCCCTCCACTCTTTCACTCTGCCTTTTAAGTTTACGAAAAATATTTGCTCCACATTCCAACCCCTGGCGACATCCTCGGAAGGAACTGCGACGTGTTACGTTTGCGCATGCGCGCATCCAGTACGCGAGTTAACGGCCCGTAAAACCCGATTAGAGGTAACTCGGCATTACCGCACATGAGATAGAAATACACTATAATCCAGATCGTAATCGTCCAAGTGCCTAACGCTGACCAATCACCAGGAACACGTCGTTCGTTATTGAGTATCGGAAAAGATCCACTTTAATCATTTATACTATATATATATATATATATATATATCGGACACCCCTAGATTTACAGTTTTCCACGACGGCTACTTCCTACTCTAAACTTGTCCCCTCAGCCTCGAGCCCTGGATAAATATCAACGGTTTCATTTATCAGCTTCTCTTCATCCCCCGACAAAGTAATTAAAGAGAAAACTTAGCAGTGCCATTCATTCTCGTTCATTTGTCTTTCAGTAGCGGTGGAGTCGCGAGGTGTACAGGTGCCACAAGAAGATTCTTTTCCTGTAACATTCAAGTAAGTACATCCAATGAGGATAAGATATATACTATATACGTGCATATATATAACACTGGAGCAGAACAGAAGACCAGAAAGCAGTACCTTCTTAAGAGAAATAAGAAATGTACACAAGACTCAGCAGATTGCATATAGCCTCGTTAAAAAGGAACTTTAATCTGTCGCGAGGTCGAAGGCGGCCTTTGAAATTCACGAGGAAGAGGATGTCTCGGAGTTTAATCAAGATCCGGTACAACAGGTCACTAAGGAATCGCAGTACGCCTCCCGAGATTCCATAGAGTATTTTTCGCAAATGTCTTTCCTCGACGCGTGTGTCAGTAGCTTCAATGTAATTTATTCGCGACAGTAGGAGGGAGAGGCTGGCACAGCGTTGACACGTGTCTCTCGATTCAATTAGATTCATCTACATAGGAATTCGAGCCGATGAATATATGCTCGCTTGACACTCGTTAAATCCGTCATGATAATACATCGATATATATGTAAGCATACGAACTGTTTTTATTATTTAACGTAGAAATAATCCCCGTATATTTTTTTGACAATGGTTTTATCTCACACGAAAATTCTTCGCTGCATATGCAGACGCATCATACCGCATCCGCCACTGTCATCGCTATAATTAGAAACGTATACCACTGTTCTGAATCGAAATTACTAGCTACACACCTTGGTATATTTTTTACATGCTTACGCTCTAGGCAGTGTATTTATAACTCGGCTGAAAAATTCTACGTGATAATATTCGTATTTTTTTTTTTTTTTTAATAATCAGGGAATAATTCCAATATTCAGCACAGACTCACGTTATGCATGATGACGTCATAGGATTTATTCGTACTCACGTAACGAACATAATCCAGACGTATTTTGACTATTTTTGTAACGATATCATTTTTGCTCGAAAAATTCCTTAGACACGTCAAAGTCGTACAACCAAAATCCTTCATACGACTGTTGAGTAGAACGTAAGTGATTTAGTTACAGGAGACAAGCATAATGCACTGAAGGCGAAAGTCCCAAAGAGTGCCGGACAGGCTCGTATAACAATCCGGCCAATTTTGTTAGGAGTTCAAAGCGGATTCATGCCGTCGCGTATTATATGGGTTTATGACTATATGAGTACAGTATGTCTGTGGCGGTCAAAAGGCAGATGCGAGTCTAATGCTACTACCGGGGTCAATTTTTTTTGTCAGGGTGAAATTTTCGCGCATGACATCCTATTCATCGGTACCGCCTTTGATGGTGGCTTTAAATGTCTTAAACGTTAATCCGCCTGTTAATGTCTTCTATTCAACAAGGAAGGTGTGTATCGTTAAGAGCAAGACGGGTTATATAATTATGTATATAACGTTAGAAGCGACTGATGAAATAAATTAATTGTTTATGAAAAATACATTACCCGTTCTAGTTTTATCTCGTGTCATAGCACTCTTAGCAAACTTCAAGCTGTACGATATTAGTCTTCGTAATAATGGAACACATAGTTCATATGTTCAGCCATCATAGCGGACGTAATAAAAAAAACAATAAGACTGACGAGACTTTGTCATCCATAAATAAATTCGCGAGATAACTTTAACTTCTACAATCAGTAATTGGCCTTGATGTATACTGTCCCGCAGTGAAACTACTGTCAACGTATTAGGATTTATTGATGGTTAGTTATTTGACGGCTCATATGATTATATGGTGAGCTAACGTTTATCGTCTATTTCAACTTCGAGTTTACTACACTTTACTAAACCAACGTCAACTAAAATATTGATTATTCAAGTTACATTTCGAGTATTCTCTAACTTGCCTCGTGACCTGAATCTCTGTAACAATAGCCCATGTCCTGACTCTATGGGGAATGTTGAGTCTGATATCTATAATAATATATGAATTCATCAACATTTATCCACTTTTAATAACGTAACACTTTGCTCCAGGGTTCCGTAGTGAGAAATAACACGTTATGACTGCTTGTATGGATTTCGTAGGAATTCGCAAGTACTAGTCACTCATCATAATTTTAGAAATTTACTCACGATACTATTTTCACTGTGAGGGATCTTGAAAAGAAGGGTAGATTATCGACGCCTTGTAATCACTTTTTATCGTTACTCGAGTACTCCTTTGTGAAACAAAGGAGACTTGGAGAACAAGAAAGAAACAAGGGTGGAATTGAATTACATGTAATTTCAACCTGTGAACCCTTAATGGTTTAATAAACACGGTTCTTTCGTGTCTGATTTAACGCAATTGTTGAGACAGGGCCTTGACGTTCTTCGACGTATAAAGTTCACCTGCTCGCAGTTAGACAGCGAATACAGTAACAGGGCCATATACCACAAGTGATACAGTACTATTTATTTCTACCTTTACGTAAAGGAAATTTTCATGGCATGCTTTCAAAATAATTTCTCTCGAATTTCTCTCCAACTACGATCGACGAGTTATGACGATACTAGAGTCAAACAACCAACCAACTCCAACAGAGTATACGTTCTTACTTCTCCAAGGCCATCAAACTTCGCATCGGGAGGGTTGATAACACCATTGAATAGGCCCTAAACTTTACGATATATTTTGAGCAGAGTATCGAGACCATATAAAAGTTTCGTACATTGATGATATATTTAAAATTTTCGAAGACTCCGCGAACAACATATACGTCACGACTTTTATGTAACGCATAATAGTACGGTATATACATATATTTGTTCACCTTATACCTTTTTACTCGGGAAATGTTTCGCTCGCATCTTGATCTTAATATTCTATCATTAAGATCCCGGAAAGGATCTGTGGAGATCAAGAACAGAAGTAAGAAAATGACAGAATGACTGGTTTAAGATAAGAGCCATATGAAGAGCCTCGCATAGAATCAGGCATTCGAGCCACACAGAGCCATGAGACAAGTTAATCTAAAGAAGCATCAGACACCCACGTCAGCCACACCCCTAACACCTTCGCCACTCGAATAACAGAAGAACTAGGGTTATTCCGCACCATAGATCCAAGATAGAAACGGGCATGTACAGCTCCCCTATTCCTATTTCACGCCATGATACAACATTTCTCTTTCTCTTCTCTACCAACACTACTTTCCCTGCGGGTAACATTCACGGTGAAAAAGGGTTGCGTGGACGCATTTATTTCGAGACGACACCCTGCGGCCATGCGGGACGCGAAAAAATGAAGACACCAAGTAGGATACGTTTATCCACGTATACATATACAAGGTGTTTCTTTTATCTCTGCCACCCGAAATAACTCAGTAATTATCGATGTAACAACAAAATGTTTCAAACAAAAGTTGTACGGTGTGGAGGGGGCCACCAAATGCGATCAATTTTTTTTATTTCGGTGGAGGCGCTGATACACAGTGAAGGTCACCTTCACTTTTTTAAATAGAACGATACATTTTTTTTTCAACCATCTTGTGGAGCACCTCAAGCCGCATAAAAAAGATTAGGGGGTCGAAGTCGTTCAAGGTCATTCAAGGTCAGTATCGATGATACAAATCTAAATATCTCGGATCGGATTGGTAGTTTTAGACATTTGGTATTTTCAAATTCATATTTTATTTCTGCTTTTCTGGAAGAAATATTAACTGTGCTGCTTGAAGATCTAACCTTGTGGGATCGGCAAAACTTCTGGTATCAACATGATGGTTGTCCAGCTCATTTTGCACGGATAGCTCGCAATGCTGTCGACCGAAAATTTAGTAATAAGCAGATTAGCCGAGGATCACGAATAGGCTGGCCTGCTAGATCACCGGACTTAAATCCACTCGATTTTTCTTTATGGGGGACATTGAAGATGACTACCAAATATTTGGTAGTGATCCGAGATATTTAGATTTGTATCATCGATACTGACCTTGAATGACCTTGAACGACTTTTTTATGCGGCTTGAGGTGCTCCACAAGATGGTTGAAAAAAAAATGTACCGTTCTATTTAAAAAAGTGAAGGTGACCTTCACTGTGCGTCAACGCCTCCAACGAAATAAAAAAAATTAGTCGCATTTGGTGGCCTCCTCCACACCGTACAACTTTTGTTTGAAATATTTTGTTGTTACATCGATAATTACCGAGTTATTTCGGGTGGCAGATATAAAAGAAACACCCTGTATACATATAGGGAACCTAGTTTCAAGAAGACTCGGTTTTTCATTACTTCTTTTATGCCCTTTTTTTTCTTTCTCAACACACGTGCTATTTCTCATGTGTAATTCCTGTTAAATCCCACGGCGATCATTTTTCGAACGGACTTTACGCTCCGAATCCTCGAAAAATTTTGTTCATACAGGTAAACGCATGACTGCAACTATTGTCTCTACTTATGGAATTTATATTTTTTTCTATAGGATTGCCCTGGCGAGCCAAAGGATTTCCGAGCTGAACAATGTGCCGCCTACAATAATGTCCCTTTTGAAAACACGTATTACGAGTAAGTAGTTTTTCGAGTACAGTCAGAAAATTAACTATTCTTTGAATTCATATTTCAGCCTGTCCCTGTTTCATAAAAATATAACGTAAATGTTCGTAACACCTTATAACGGGATGGTTCACTGCACCTTTATGCCCTAGTATAGGTTTAAACCTACCTGGAGTTAACTTGTATTGTACCCTCGTTAAAGGCGCCCACTCACCCTTAACACCTAAATATGTATATCCACGTGAATTATGTGATGCCGGGAGAAAATGGAAAGCGCTGCCTCATTTCCTTGCGGCACTTCGCTAGAAAAGGCTGTAATTCTAATACCAGCCTTCCATATCCAAAATCCAACATCACGAAGTTTCGAACCCCTCTGGCGCAAATAAATTCTCATACACATTACGTGTCTATGGCACCAAGCCGAGAAATGGGTCGCGCGCCAATTGATATTCGTTGTGCTGTTTTACGTTTATGGTGAATTTATGTTTTGCACAGGTGGATTCCTTATACCGGGTCGCATAATAAGTGCGAGCTAAACTGTATGCCGCGCGGAGAACGTTTCTTCTATAGGCATAAATCAGCAGTTACTGATGGTACACCCTGCGCTCTTGAACAAAATGACGTTTGCGTCGAAGGAAAATGCATGGTGAGACTCGACGATTTAATGTAGCCGTACCTTGGAAAAGTTATCATTTCGGAATGAGTTTTTACCAACTATGATAACAGATACTTAGAGTCTAATGGATGATCTTGGTAAACGATATGTTATTCAAATTATCAGCATGTGGGGTGCGACATGATGCTCGGCAGCGACGCCAAGGAAGATGCTTGTAGGGAGTGCGGTGGTAACGGAACGGATTGTAATACCATAAGTGGACTCTTCGATACAGATGAATTACAGATTGGTATGGTATTCGTCAATATGACTGTACTATATATTATTACAGTGACAAGGAACGTTAATGTACTAAAGATTTTTTTTTTCCCTTAGGCTACATCGACATTCTGCTCATTCCTGAAGGTGCCATGAACATCGTGATCAAGGAGGTCGCACCATCCAATAATTATTTGGGTGAGTTATTTATTAAATGAACAAACTATTATCGTCACAAGTATTAAGAAATTATATGTTTTCAAATACTGGTATGAAATAAATTTTTTCTTGCTCATTATTGCCGTATTGATTTTGTTTTCAGCCATTCGTAACACTGCCGGTCAATATTACCTGAATGGTAATTGGAGAATAGATTTTCCACGCTCTTTAAGATTCTCTGGTACTATATTCCATTACACGAGATATCCTCAGGGTTTCTCGGCTCCTGATACCATAACGGCACTTGGCCCTACGAACGAAGCTATTTACGTTGTAGTAAGTATCTATTGAATCAACTGTGACTTCACGTGTTCTTAAATTTGATAAATATGCAATTTCTATAATTTTGTTACTTCTTAGTTGCTCTATCAAGATAAAAATGTTGGTGTCCACTACGAATACAGCATTCCAAAGAAATTATCTCAACACACAGATCCCAGCGGTTACACTTGGACAGCTGATGAATTTTCAGAATGTAGTGCAACCTGTGGAGGAGGTTAGTTAACAAAAAACTGATAACGCTATACGATAAAAGCAAAGTTTAATATACCTATAATATTTTTAAATAAGGTTATCAATCAAGAATCGTTAAGTGCGTTCGACGTGGCGACAATACCCCAGTGGATGAGAAACTCTGTGACCCGCAACTGGAACCAGCCGATACTGAAGTTTGTAATAATGAACCATGCCCACCGGAATGGATAGAGGGCGAATGGGGTACTTGTAGTAAGCATTGCGGTGACGATGGTGTACAGACCAGAGAAATCAAATGTGAACAGATAATATCCGGTGGTATTCCATCGATTGTGGACGAAGCCCAATGTTTAGAAAAATTGGGACCCAAGACGGAAACAACTCGACAATGTAACAAAGACGTTGAATGTCCCAAGTGGCACTTGGGTCCATGGAAACCGGTAAGCATAAATAATTAACAAAATTATTTTTATCTACCTAATTCGACAAAATATTCTATCGTCGTTCGACTATTTGTAGTGTGATCATCTGTGCGGTAAAGGCAAGCAAACTAGACGGGTAACTTGTTACAAGAAAGTCGATGGAAAGATTACAGTTCTTGAGAATTTAGCTTGCGAAGAGGAAGTACCTGAAAGAGAGAAACCTTGTGAATTACGACCATGCGAAGGACTCGATTGGGTTGCTTCCGAATGGAGTGGCGTAAGTAAATGATTTGAATGATTGGATGATCTCCTCCTTAGATAGGAATGGTTACATTTTTTTGGACCTCACGCAATCCGTCTGTATCCTACAGTGTACCGAGAAATGTGGTCTCACGCAAGAAACCAGGACGGCACATTGCGCAACTCAGGATGGTACCGTGTATCCGGATGAGAAATGCAATCCTGATAAAAAACCAAAATTGACTAGGAAATGTGATACTTCGCAGGATTGTAAATTTTTCTGGTATGCCGCTCAATGGAGTGAGGTAAATCTTAAATATATTATTTTTACAATTGATCTAATTATTTAATTTTAGTATTACACCTTATGTCTTCTATAAACTCAATTTTACAGTGCTCCGCCAAATGTGGTACAGGTATTCAAACACGAAAAGTATTTTGTGCTTCTGCCGAGGATGATGATACTTTCAAGAAAGTTCCGGAATCGAATTGCGATCCTGAAAAAAAATACGAGGATACACAAAACTGTACAGCTGAAATTAAAGAATGTGAGGGAGAATGGTTCGCTGGACCTTGGAGCAAGGTATTAATTACAGTGAACAATAACTCCCTATCATTCCTATTATCAAGTTTATTTGCTTAGATCATACGACAGCTAATATTATTATAATTTCCATTCAGTGTACGAAACCTTGCGGTGGTGGTGACATGGCTAGGAAAGTGATTTGCATGAAAGGCGATATAAAAGTTCCGGCCAGTAATTGTGACTCTGGCTCTATTCTATTTAGTCAGGAAGACTGCAACACTCACCCTTGTGAAGAAGGTAAATTATTGTCAAGCTCATTGACTTAGCATCATTTTGATCAATTAATTACCATTTGGTTTATTAATCAGACGAGGTAATTCCCGTGGATCCAGAGAAGGCTAAAGCCCTTACCGATGAGGAAGAGGAATGCGAGGAATATGAAGATGACGAATTTGTCACATTCGATACCAGCCTTAAAACAGATGTAACTTTATTTAAAATATCATAAAATATATATTATTTTATAAGCATAAATTAATATCGCTCGATCTTAATATTGCAGAGTGGCGTAGACGTCTATACATCAGAAATAACAGAAGCAACAACTTTAAGTTCACCGTTTGACTCTGACGCATCAGAAGGAACCAGAACTATCAGTGACGTGTCTTTATTCACGGCCGATAGTAGTTCATCTAATAACTTAATGAATGATTCTCCTTCCACGAGAGGAGACATGCCAATCCCGACAGATCCTGGAAGTGGCAGTGGCAGCGGGGATGGTGATTATACATCCTTCAGCGAATTTAATACTGATTATACCAGTTCGTTGGATGATCTTTCTACTCTGGAAGGAAGTGGCACATCTCCAGATGAATCTAGCAGTAGCTTTGTAACAGTTGCGACTGACGAGCCCAGTATATCATCTAAAGTATCTTCAGTATCTACTAAAGATGAAGTTACTGAATCTACAGAGTCATCGAATGTATCCACTGTCCAGTTTACTGAATCAGAGTCATCGAAAGGATCCACTGTCTTGTTTACCGGATCAGAGGCATCATCTGGTTCCGATGTCACAACTGAATCTTCTACTTCTGGAGCTACAGAGGGATTAACCGATCCATCGTCTGAATCCACTGCTTCATCGATATCTGCTAAGTCGTCCGAGTCCGTTGCTGAAACTAGTTCAATAATTGAGTCATCATCTACCTCCATTGTCACCGAATCAAGTGGCACCAGCGCAAGTTCAGAAGGCAAAACAGATTCTTCTTCTTTAGAAACTTCTGAATCCGAAACAACTGAATCGGATACTACCGAATCAACAGAATCAACACCTACTTCTTCCACGGATACGGAGGAAACGTATTCTACAGAAGTTACAGTCACACCCGGTTACAGTGAAAATGAATATTCGGGTAAGTTGATTTAATAATATTTTCTGTATGGTATTTTCCTGTTGAGTGGAAAATTGTATGTTTAATTTCTATCGACAGAATCGGAAACAACATCGGCAATTGAGTCAACAACATCCAGTGGTACTACAACATCTTCCATTGTTAAGGAAGTGATTCTTGAATATGACCCATCCTCGGTGATAGACAAGGAAAATTCTTCAGCCGAAGAAACAGAAAATACTGACGTTTCTAGTACTGCAGCTTCTACTGAAACTGTTGAAGCCGGAAGCTCAACTGAAATTAGTGGTGTTACGGAAGCTACTGAATCTACAGAAATTTCCTATTCCACGGATATGAAATCTTCTACAGCTTCTGGATCTACTGAATCTACCCTATTTGAAGAGACATCGGAAGCTAGTGGCTCTACTGTGTCTGGTGAAACAACAGGATCTGAATTTGAATCTTCGACCGGAATTCAAGAAACAACAGTATCTGCTCAGTCGACTGAGTTACCTGAAATAACAGAATCAGAAGCATCTACTATAACTGAAGGAATATCAGAATCTACTGAATCAGGCGCAACAACAGAATCCACATTCACGGAGTATGAACAAACAACCGATTTGAGCGGTACATCTGAGTCTGGTGAAACAACATTAATTGAAAAAAGTGATATCACAACAGAAAGTGGAATCACCGAAGAAACGACAGAGTCAGGTATCACGTCTGATGAAGACGAGGAAACGGATCTTACTGATCAATCGCATAGTAAGTGGTTCTTTAATTATTTTATTAGTAATATAAAAAAAGTTACGACTATTATTAGAAATTGATAATAATGATGTTAATGACAAATATTTTATCAGTTACCGATTTCTGGACCACTATCAGTCCTATCGAAGCGGCTATTACAAAAGAGCATAAACTCAAGAAATGCAAGTTAAGGAGGAAGAAGAAGCACTGCAAAACATCAGAATTTGGTTGTTGTTATGACGGAATTACCGCAGCGGAGGGTCCATTCGGCAAAGGATGTCCAACACCTGAAACTTGCAAAGAGAGTAAATTTGGTTGTTGTCCTGATGGAGTGTCCGCTGCTACTGGACCAGATAATCAAGATTGCCCAGATACTCACTGTCAAGAAACTCTCTTTGGTTGCTGTCCAGATGGAGTTACAGCGGCTGAAGGAAATGACTTTGAGGGATGCAAAAAACCATGCAATGAAACAGAGTGAGTTTCTTCACAAAGTACAATTTATAAAACACAAACCGCATTTATTTAATTTCAATCTACAAATAAAAGTGTTCATCTACATATTTCAGATTTGGATGTTGTCCAGACAACGAGACACCCGCTGATGGTGAGAACAATCTGGGATGCTGCAATGTTACTGAATACGGTTGTTGTCCTGACAATATTAAACCAGCTACTGGTCCAGATGGTGAAGGTATTGTTCTAATGTTTTCCTTATAAGCTTAATTTGTAATAATTTAACAACCTTTTCTCTTCCGTTCTACAAGGATGCGAAGAAGAGGAAATCACTTCGATAACGTCATCAACAGAAGAAGAAGTCGAAGTGACAACAGTTTCCGTAATAGAAGAAGACTGCGCGAACTCAACCTATGGTTGTTGTCCCGACGGCAAGAGAGTTGCAACCGGTGAAAACTTCGAGGGTTGCGGTGTCATCGATACCGAAAATTGTACCGCATCATATTTCGGCTGCTGTCCAGACCAAATATCGGCAGGTACAACACAACAACAACATGCATCCACTCAATGTATCAATTCATAATACGTTCCATATACTGTATCTATCTTACAGCTCTTGGTCCTAACAATCACGGTTGCCGTATGCCTTGCGAGAACACAACCTATGGTTGTTGCGACGATGGATCCACACCAGCTCACGGATCCAATGGGGAAGGCTGCTGTTTGACTACACCATTCAAATGTTGCCCCGACAACATTCTACCAGCTCGCGGTCCAGATTTTTATGGCTGTGGCTGCCAATACTCAAGATTTGGTTGCTGTCCAGACAATACTACTGCAGCTCGAGGATCCAACAACGAAGGATGCGGTTGTAAATACACTGCACATGGATGCTGCCCCAATCAATTTACACCAGCAAGCGGTCCCAATTACGAAGGATGTCCTTGCTATACTTATCAGTTTGGCTGCTGTCCTGATGGCCTTACAATTGCTAGAGGACCTCACGGACAAGGTAAAGCTTATTCATTAAACCTTTTGACTCGTTACACATTGTATATTCTGATTAAAGGATGCGGGTGCGACTACAGTGAATTTAAATGCTGCTCCGATGGAAGGACTCCAGCCAAAGGACACAACTTTGCTGGATGTACATGCGATGCATCGAAATACGGATGCTGTCCTGATGGAATTGAAGAAGCTCAAGGAGAAAATTTCGAAGGATGTCTATCAGTGCCATCCATTCCAGGTGCTGCTTGCTCTCTCGAGAAAGATCGAGGACCTGAGAACTGTCGCAACTTTACTGTCCAATGGTACTTCGATACCGAATATGGTGGTTGCTCCAGGTTCTGGTATGGTGGTTGCGGCGGTAACGAGAATCGCTTCAAGACGCAGGAAGAATGTAAAGCGGTTTGTATGGAACCTAAAGGCCGTGGTAAGTTCATAGTATCGTATTCTTCCTAGCAACGTACCGTACAGCTAACAAAGACTTTTGAGTCAATATAAAATATGCTAATGATGAATTTCAGATGCTTGCTATCTACCCAAAATTGCTGGTGCCTGCACGGGATACTTCCCTACCTGGTATTATGATAGTGCAAGGAAACAATGCGGTCAGTTCCGCTATGGAGGATGTCTTGGAAACGCGAATAGGTTCAAGACTCGTGAGGACTGTGAAGAACTATGCGTGGTACCTGATGACATTGGTATGTTTGAATATACATTTCATATTATAACAGAGTAAATAATATAGCATATATATATTATTTCTTAAATATTTAATACAGATCCTTGTGATCAGCCCAAAGAGCAAGGACCCTGCAAAGGTAACTTCACTAAGTGGTACTTCAACAAGGATGCGCAAACATGCGAACAATTTACATATGGTGGCTGCAAAGGAAACAATAACAACTATCCAACTGAAGTTGCTTGTCATCAACAATGTCTTCAGCCAGGTCGCAGTCGAGGTAAGTTATCCTCGTGCATAACCCGAATCACATTACAATATTTTTGCAAGAATGTGAAGTGCCACTTGATGAACAAAAAAGACAAATATTTGTCTATACTAAAGTTGTGCATATAGAAACTGGAAACATCCAACGGAATAGATTTATCCAATAGAATTACTAAACGGAATGGATTATGCATCGGAATGTCAGTATGGTGCCTGCTCAGGTATTTTATAGAATTGCAGTGATAGTGGTACCTACACGAAAAACTTTCCTTCCTTAGTAGTTACAATATGAATTGTTGGGGTTTTCAAGAATCTTGCTACAGCTAATGTTTAACCAATGGGAATAAGGTCAAGATCACTGGCGAAGCGTCAATAATTGATTAACGCTTGCCAATGATAGTTTCTTGAGAAATCTTCGATTGTTTCGTAATTGTGGAACGAGCAACCGTACAGGATAAAAGGTTATGGTCACTAATGGGAATTAAAGAACCAAAAAAACATTTTCAGTAATTCGGGACGTGTGCGCCCTGAAGAAAGATCCCGGGCCTTGTCCCGGCTCTTTGCTACGCTGGTATTACGACGCGAAACGTCAAACATGTAAACAATTTGTTTATGGCGGTTGTAAAGGCAATGGCAATAAATTCCGAACTCGCGCTGCATGTGAGCAGCGTTGTCCAGTTAGAGGTACACATACAAAAAACAAAAACTGAAGTTGTCACGATCGTTGGTGCTGGCAGCTACTAATCGATCATGCGCCACGTTATGTCACGTTTATCGTAGTCGGTGTTGGCTGAAGCAGCAAAAATCACATAATTTTATATTCTTTTATCATACATTTTTTTTCAATCATTTCACTGCGTTAATTCAGTCACCCAAATCGTAAAATAACAAATATAAGGAAACAACAAATAGTATCAAATTGAGCATTGAGATACATATTATCAATGATTCTATAATCAATATAGGAATCATCATTCATTTCACAACCATGGCTTTTGATGTTGTTTTATTATTTATTCACTCGATTATTTCACGCCCGTTGCCTTTCGCCAATATTTTTCATTTGTAATACCTTCAGCGCACATGTCGATAAAACTTTAAAAAATCCACATAACAAATTCGGCATATGACTCATTTACATAAGTATACAGCACAGTAAACTTCGACAATAACTTAATACCAGCACAATCACTTAACCTATTTGTGACTCACTGGTCGATATGGAATTTGTACGTTTAACATAAGTACTCATGGTGAATGGAACTTAGATCATAGTATATTTAGCATTTGAATTGATACTAACTTTGCACGATAATAAATGCAATAACAGATTTCTGCTCGCTACCACGAACTGAGGGTAACTGCACAGAGAAGCACTCTCGATGGTACTTTGATCAATCGGAAAATCGATGCATGCCATTCTATTACACCGGTTGCGGTGGTAATAGAAATAATTTTGATACTAGAGACGCATGTGAATCCGATTGCCCACCGAAAATTGGTAAGAGACTAATTTTCACATAAAATTACAGTAGAATAAATTATACCCGTTCCTGCGATCACATTACCAACTAAAACAATAAAAACTGGCTATTATAATTTCCAAAATATGTAAATATCCACTGGTAGAGCAATTTGAATATGATTATTTTTACTAGTTATACTAATAATCATACTTCCTATATTGTTGTGTATATTTGAACAAATGTCTGCTGCGTTTTCTTGTTAGTTTATTTCATCTTGTATTGCACTAATTCTTTTTTGTATTGTACCTTACCAGGCTAGGTTTGTACAGAAAGTATTTTCAAATGGTTAGTTATTCACGTTGAGTTTACTTATTCAAATTCATATTGACTCTATCTTCTTGTGTAAACCAAGCTTGGCTAGGTTTATTGTTGATCGCTACACACTATCTATTTCATCGTGAAATGACGTATGGAGTGAGTATCTAAAGATTGTCGTTTCCTTGAAAAATAGAACAAGACACTTGTCTGCTTCCTGCACTTTTGGGAGAGTGTCACAACTATACCCAACGTTGGTATTACGATTTCTATGAACAACGATGTAGACAATTTTATTACGGGGGCTGTGGTGGCAATGGAAATAATTTCGCTGACGAACACGATTGCATCAATAGATGCGAAACCAGAATCAGCACACCAGCTCCTTCTGCCATTCAATTCAAAACTGGTAACAAACATAATGACTATCCTCCTAACATGCAAGAAAATAAATCTTCCTAAAATTATTTAATTATTAAAAATCTTCAGAGTATTGCTTCCTGCCTGACGATCATGGTCCTTGCGCCGAAAACACAACAAAATGGTTCTACGACAGCAGAGATGGCACCTGCAAAATCTTTATGTATGGTGGCTGCCAAAGTAATGGAAATAACTTCAATACACGCGAAGAATGCGACTATCGCTGTGGAACAGTACAAGGTAATTTTTAAGTTTAATGAATAGTAAAGAAAGAATTTCTATAACAATATTTCAACTTAAACTTCATATTGAAATGTGGCATCGTTTAACATTACAGATCCGTGTACTTTACCGAAAGTCGTCGGTCCCTGTGCCGGTTCCGTTAAACAATACTTCTATGATAGACAATCCGATTCTTGTTACGAATTTGACTATAGTGGTTGTCAAGGAAACAAAAATCGCTTCCAGGACAAATTATCTTGTGAGCAACAGTGCAAGAAAGAAGTACAGCCTCCTGCTCCAGGGGTAGCCGACATTCAACGGACTACTGAAGCTCCCCGTGCTTCAGTCGAACCTGTACCAGTCAGTCCCAATTGCTTGGCACCAGTCGATGCTGGTCCATGTAACGGTGACACTACAGCATATTATTATGACGTGCAATCCCACATGTGTCAAGCATTCATCTACGGTGGCTGTGAAGGAAATGCTAATAGATTCCAAACGGAAGAACAATGCGAGAGACTTTGTGGGAGGTTCCAAGGCCAAGGTATATCCTTTTAATTACAAAAAAAAAATTATGACAGCGGAGTCACAGAATCGTAAATTTACTTAAACTCTTAGATATCTGCAACCTTCCGGTGGACAGCGGACCCTGTCGTGGCGCTTTTGCGAAATTCTTCTACGACTCTGCAATTCGCGGATGTCGCGAATTCACTTATGGTGGATGTGACGGTAATGCCAACAGATTCAGCACAGTATCTGAGTGCGAATCTATCTGCATTCATCGTGAGGAGCCTGCACCTACTGGAAATAACACTGCACTTTCTCATTTGGGTAAGAATTGAATAGCATATTTTTTCTTTTTTTTTTTCGTTCAAATTAATACAACAGTCAAGAGCTGTAACCAATATATTATTTTTCGAGTGATAATGGATGATTTTGTCGAAATGGTTTAGCTATCTGTAGAGAACCTGTGGATATTGGCTCGTGTCCTACACCAAGTTACAGACGTTTTTACTACAACGATGAAATCCAGACTTGTATTCCATTTATTTACACTGGTTGCGGTGGAAATCGTAACAGATTCAAAACCTTTGAGTCTTGCATTAGCACATGCCTTAGGCGTAAGTGAGCTATGAGTGTAAGGCATTCTGTAGTACAAAACTAACAATTTTTTAAAGTTTATATTTCGAGCTTACGACCCTGTGACTTTAAGTCCCACAATATTTCTTTCGATAGGCTTCGTAACAGTGTACATAATACAGCACGCACTCGTTCATATGTATATACAACACGTAACCCCCACAATACAAATTTATGTATAACAATAGATTATTTACAGGTTATAAAGAGCCGCAGTTTTACAGGGACAAAGTCTGAACTGATATTTGCTCTGTCATACGATGTATATATTATATATTCATTTCTTCCTCATTTATTTTCTAGCATGATCCCAGCATTTCAGACATGTACCGCATCCCAGTCTTGTAAAACCATTGTATAAATAACTAATCGCAAAGCTAATTCCCATTTCAGTCTATACTTCAGTACACACCTTTTTTTCGTTGCTTCCCAGTAACATGTGTTGAATTAATTTCCAATACTAGTATATTTCATTTCTACAGCGAGTAACGAGATTGACGTTGATGTTGAGAAAAAATCGAAAGATCCGTGCGCAGAAACTCGTGAGGAGTGTCGTATTATTCGCTGTCCATATGGCAAAGAAGCCTTTGTCGACAGTCAAGATTGTGAACGTTGCCGTTGCGTAGATCCATGTACCTCACGAACCTGTCCTGAAGGTACAAAATGTGCCATCACCTTAGTGCCCATCAACGATGGCACCGAGTACGTTGGTACCTGCAGATCAAGTAAGTAAAAAAAAGGCAAGAAATAACTAATTACCTAGTTATTTCTATCAAACGAATATTTCCAATTGAACTATAATTTCTTTATACATTTACCGTATAATTTTAGCAACGAAACCAGGCCGCTGTCCGAACGTATCGAATAGCACCAGATGCGAACAGGAATGCACTTCGGATGCAGATTGTGCTGGAGAATCGAAATGCTGCAACAATGGCTGTGGGACTTCATGCCTAGAACCTGCACCTGAAGAACCACTAACCACACCACCTCCTGTTATTGCCGTGACTCTGCCACAATATGGTGCTGAACCTGCGTATATTCAGCAACCTGAAGAGTCTGAATTGACCGCCGAAGAGGGCAGCTTCGTCACGATGAAATGTGTAGCGATCGGAAATCCCAAACCAACGATTTCTTGGCGAAAGGACACTGTTGTGGTAAGTTCCATCGAAATAGTTGTGTAACATTTCTGACTGTCTGAAGTCATTTTTTTAATTAACAAAAATTTTTCATTACGTTCATAGATAAAGGATTCTGAAAAAAGACGACGCATTATGTCTGACGGCTCTCTTCAAATAATAAATTTATATACCTACGACAGAGGTACTTATATATGTAGTGCATACAATGGTCTTGGTGCACCAGTCAGAGTAGAATACCAATTGGACATTACAGGTGAGCTCACAAACAATGAACAACTCTTTAACATTCTTAGTATATTAAAGTATAGTGATATTAATAAAAGTACTAGAGAAAACTTGGAAAGTGCCTGGATTACTAGAAATCTTCGTCAACTAATAAATATATATCTCTTGCCTGTACATGTCTGTCTATCTAATTTGGATTCGTCTCAACTATAAATTATTTCTTATAAATGAAGTAGAACATAACAATGTCTAACACGTCGAGTCCATTTCATCTAAGGTGTAGATTGTCTGAACTATATAACGTGGTGATGTGGCGTTTATTAATCATCTAACTCTAAGCACATGGCATGGTATCTCTTGCATCCTATAGAACCGCACAATAGACCTGCCGCCATCATCGGGGAGCCAAATGCAACTGTGACTGTCACTTTAAATTCGCCAAGGACCCTGCACTGCTACGCAATGGGCTGGCCAAGGCCACAAGTCACCTGGTGGCATGGAGACAATATGCTACCACTTACATCTGAATCTTATGAGCAAGACTCTGATTATACCTTGCTAATCCGTTCAGTCACCTTAAGTAACCTTGGCATATACACCTGTCAGGCTTACAACGCTGTAGAAAGACCCACTTCATGGTCCATCACCGTTCAAGCTATCGGTCCAGTTCACAATATCAAATATGATCAACAACAGTACACAAAATATCTTGTTCAACCTCCCACAAGACCCAATATAAGCAAACCGCAATATCCTTATAGACCATCTAGAATTCAAACTCCTGAGTATCAAACCTATGCCCCCCTATATCCCACCAGACCACCATATGTCCCAGGAGTTGTTCCTCTTACTGAATCGCCTGAAGTGGTACCTCCTGTTAGGTATACAGGTGAGACTACCATCTCAAAGTATTATAATTTTCATTCTTAACGATTTTTACATACTATACTTAGGTGCTTGCAACTACTGTATCTCTTTCTTAAATAACATTGTGTGCATGTAAACGCTTTTGCTTTTTAATGCATGTAATAAAAGATTTGAGGCGATGTAAGCTCGTTTGAAGTAATGTCAATGTGCTTAAAATGTATAGCTGCTTTATGTGAAAATAATTTCATAACTATGAGCCTACTTTATATTCCAGAGAAATGCCAGCGGATTTTTTTCTTACTTATATTTTACTGTATTTAATCATTATACTTATTTAATATTTATTTTTAATACTTATTTTATTCTTATGCAGTACCGGTTAAAGTGAACATATCAGTACCACAAAATGAATTCCCAGAGGGTAGTGATATCAGTATCGCTTGTAATGTGGATGGTTATCCTATTCCACGGGTAGAATGGTACAAGGACGATGTTCTTATTCAAATGAATAACCGAGTAAGGATATCAGGTAAGCAAATAGATATTGTACATTAAATTCGCAGAGAAATACATATACAGAGATACAGGAATATAAACTAAATCAAGTTGCATTACTTGCAGAAGCTAACAGGCTCCTTATTTCCAACGCTAACAAAAACGATACCGGAAATTACCGATGCGAAGCATCCAACGAATACACTTCTGATTCTGGAAATGTAGATATCCGTGTAGCTGGTAAGTGAAACTGCTTAAATTATGATATTTTTAATTGCTAAATTTGTACCTCAATGTCGAATTATTCCATTTAGGCATTTTCATCCATCCAAATTGCCAAGACAATTTCTTCTTCGCCAATTGCAAACTGATCGTGGAAGCCCGTTACTGCCAGCACAAGTATTACGCTCAGTTTTGTTGCCGATCCTGTACAGAGGATGGCCAATTACCAGTGAGAGGACCGCACCTGGATAACACCAGAAGAAGGAGATCCATCCTTCCCTTCTTTTAGAAATTTAAAATCGAATTTTCGAATGCTTCGGTAAGCGGGTCCATGACACACTTCATAATTACGTGCCTGACTTCTTGATATTCAACCGCATGATACGTAATTACAAGAGAAACATCAACGTACTAGTACCAGATAACCTCTCTGTACGTAATTATGAATTACCACCATAGATATTTGTCTTCTACCATTAACGTACTAACCGACATTGTTGAACAATATTTTGAAAAGCGCAGCGAGTAGAACAAAGAAACGCGTCAACCTTGTTTACACGCGATTATTATAGAATCTCGATGCACTTTCAATTCGTCCCCGTTTACCGGAAGTATTGGGAAAATCAAATTTCCTTCACTGCCAAAGCCTTAGAACGTTTATACATAGATACGATAAATTTATATTCGAATCGAAGTAAAGTAGAGCTTTTGATGGATGGTGAATCAAGAACTAATCGGGAATGGGATTTCTTTCGTATGCATCGATAGAAATGTGCATTTCGATGGATTATCCATGTATACACGATCTGACGCTGAATCCTAGTCTGACGGAGCCATATTGGGCAGGTCGTCCCAAATAAAAAAAAAGGCAATTGATGCTGTTTCGAGAATGAAATAATCGCAACTTCACAAACCTCAGAAGGCATTGCGTCACCTTAAATAATAATGATCGTTAATAGATAGATTCAGTATAACGTACCGTGCGATAATCTTTCGAATCAATGTTATCAGATAGTAACGAATCCTTTATAATGCACTGCAGAAGAATCGCAGACAAGAGTACAGTAAAACAGACACTTCGAGTCGTACATTGATATTTCTCGTATTAAGAAAACTACAAAAAATCTTGCAAATCATTGGCAAGAAACTATGAAGATAGATATTAAAATCATTTACGTACGCGTTACCTTAACGAAAGTTTGAGAATATTTAATCGTGAATACTCATAAGTGGATATACTTATAATAATAAACATGAAAAATATTTGTTTCAATTTCCAATGAACGAACAATGCTTCATGACAAGACCCTTGTACGGTACATATATTATATTAATCATACGCACGTTATATTGTAAAATATAAATAGTTTAGTATGTATTATGACCTTCATACTCTCCATATAATTATTGTGTATTACTTATGAATACTCCGATTTTACCGCAACGGAAGTATCGCCAAATACACATAGAGAATCTCTAAAAATATACGGACAGTGAATCTTAAATAATTTTCACCTGGATGATATAACATGGTAAGAAATCTTCTGTATTCAATAGCTAATTTGATTCGTTAAAGAAAAAAAAAAAAAAGTAGCAGTATTGAACTACTTAGAACTGTAGAATAGTTGATTCTTTTTACTATGTTGTATCATCATAGTGTTTAGAATACATAACTAGTGTACAGTTGTATTTTATACATTACAGACCAGTTTAAACTATGTTCAAAGTTTGCATGTCGTCCAGGTATTGGAAAACAACGGTGTTGCATTTATATTTGTTCCTGAATTATTAACCGTAAATTTAATTATGTAATAACATTTCATTAGTATTACTTTACACTATACTTCTTAAACGTTAAAAATCGTAGGATACTGTAAGAGACAAGTAAGGAGTACCAAAAGCATTTATATACTTAAAAGTATCATTATTGATGACTATTGAAATTCTCTTAGATCATTTGGTGCTTATTATATTATCCTATCTGTTCACTTAGAGTGAAATACAGTGCCTTATTAGATATGATTCGAGAGAATCTGGGAAAGAGTATTTTACATATCACAAATTTCATTCTAGACATTATTACTAATATTCGGTACTTGATTCATTTAAATTATCTGACCTAATGGCTAAAATACTTAGACGATCAGCTTATTGCTATGAATAGAAAAACCTCTTTTCGAGATTACTCTCGTACGACAGCGGTATCAATAAAATGATAGTCTTTCAATATCGCCGTGATAATACCCTGAAAATGTATAAATAGAATATCTCTTTAGATGAATGTTTTTTTTTTTTACTTAAGAACAAGCAATCTTCTACGCAAATTTTTTCTTAACGTTTGTATGGTTAAAATTTATATGAAAGCAATCCGAACGTTATTTAAGATTTTCATAACTGTTATCAGCACCAAGATCTATTTAATAATAATTTTGACATGTCACAGGATTTTTTTTCACAAATCATCAATGCGCGTAGCTGTAAGTGAAAATTCAAAAGTATAAAAGAAAATAGTTCAAGGCATATAAACACGTAATTAATTTTTCGAAAAACAAGAATTGAAAAGAAGTTCCGTTTTTCGTTGATATTATTTACAATGTTTTTGGAATTTAAATAATTATGAGTTTTATTGTCACTTATGGCTACGGGCATTCTTGTGTAAATTTTGTCTAGAATCCGTAGTATCAACGCTGATGCTATAATATTTTCACTATTAAGAAATAATTCCACGACTCTTAAAAATGGGGAACGTACCTCGCAGTGTGTAGTGTATGTAATATATAAATGTACATTTCCAGACCATTTGAATGAAACCATACCAATCCCTTCTAATTAATTGTACTAATTTGCATCATTAGCAATTGCATTGTTCGTGCTTCTGATTAATTCCTTGTTTTGCAATACGAAAGTCGCTACGGTCGGTACTACGGACTTTTGAATACTCAAAGTGCTTATTAGCAAACAATTTATCAAGTAAAATTTAATAAGTAATGAGTATCCATATCTCTAAAGTATCACTATCAAAAGTATAATACATCATGTCAGTAATAATTCAACGCTTTAGTGAATTTCGTTGTAAATGTATTTTAGGTAACAAATAATATATATAATTCTACGATAGAAGTATCAATGAATACCACTATACGAATATTGTATGGACAATAATAATATTTAAGGTCCTTAAATACACAACAATTGAAAATGATGATTTAACTAATTAATTATTATTAGCACAGGATATTACTTCATAATATTATTATTAGTATTATAATATTTTTTTTTATTTTATGACGAATAAATTTGATTATAGAATATATCCTACTACCAGTTACAACTGAAACTATTTCTTCATTCAGATTCACATTTTTCTGTAGTAACGACCACGTGTCAAACTCGAAAAACGACCACTTTTTTGTTGCAACAGTCGCTTATGCTGCTCCTCCACTAAAACCGTCTTTTCCATTCTTTCTGTAGCTATACGCTCTATTTTGGCGAATAGGTCACTTTGCACTGCGATAGATTTTCGAAAGTCTCGTCGATCAAGTCGATAAACTTCACATATGTCAATAGCCACGACACTTGCCACTCTTCGTTGATCTTGTACAAGTAATGCAACTTCACCGAAATATGCTCCATCGTCTAAATGGCAGATCTACAATATTCATAAAAGAGAGAAATTACAATTTTTAGTAATTCCATAATCCTAGTTGAAAATCTTTAATGCATTTTGAGCTATTATGATGACCTCTTTTCCCGTTGGCGTAAAAACTGCCACTGTACCGCTGGATAAGAAGAACATGCAATCCCCATGTGTACTGGCTTTTACAATTATATCGTTTGGCAAATATAATTCCAATTTCAAGTTAGTTACAATAGACGTCAAAACGTCTTGTGGAAGATTTTGAAAAATTGCTACATTTTCCACTAAACGTTGACACGAGTACAGAACAATCTCTTGTCGTAGTTGATCTACAAAGAAGATAAGTTATATTTATTCATACGAGTAATTAAGTAATGGCTTAAATAAGATGAAATCGAATCTTACCAGGTAAGGAGGAAAGGATCATCCTCTCTCGAAAATAACTCTTTCTAAACCGAAATCGATAATATAGTAGCAATCGCTTTTTCATGTACGGCGGTAATTGTTTTTGCCATATGTAGGCTGATAGTTGATTTATTATTTCTTGAAATTTTGCCTCGGGCTCTTGGGAATTCGACTTAATTTGAAGAAATATAACTGTCATTTTTAATTTGGAATTAGAACTTTCACTTGAACCTCTTTTTATTCATTTTCTATTCATTAACTTACTCGTTATGTAGCATTCGAATATTCGACCAGCAAGCAGTAAAAATGTACAGAATAGAGAATGTCCCTCCGCAATAGGTGGAAAAATTCCATAACCACTTGCTGTAAAATTATCTACAACTATATATAGTGCATGTCGAAATTTTGCAGCTATTCCCTGTCCTTGAATATTACTTATCCAACAATCTGGGCAATTCTATATATATATTAGTAATTAAAAAGTACGAGCACACAGATACTTTAATGTAATACAAATTTACAAAAATTTCTATGAAAACAGACCTCAATAGTAACTTGAAGAATATACATCGTGAATATTGGTATAATATAACAGAAACAAGAAAACCAATAGATTACATAACCCGATAATAACAAGGTTGTGGACATTTGATATGACCAATTATTATTCATAGAATGCTAAAAATAATAGATAGGAACTTCATATATAATTAAAGTAAAGATAATTATAATGTTTGAATAAATATATTTACTGCGAATAATTGAAGAATATATGAATGAAGTGTAAAGTAACGTATAATCTTTAATGTAGGTAAAACATTGATAACTGCTACTATAAGAGATGCACCAGGACCTGGCACCTTACGCCATGCTGCAGTAATGTGATCATATGGTAAGGAGGTAACAATATCGAGTACAAGAAATCCTTTCATATAGGATCTAATATAATAAAAGATTAAATTTAAAAAATGATCATTAATAATATAGTTTGCTCAGTGTATACTTGATGATTGCTCCTTGATCAAACACAACTTTCATACTCTTGGAATCGTGTATTCCAGTAATACAATTGATTATTATGTCCAACCAGCAGATAGCATAAATAGCTAGATTAATTTTATCATAATAAATTGCCTCATAATCCATTATAATAAAACATATCATAAATGGAATTGTCACAAAGGCTATCAAGTATATCACTATCATCAGTAGTTCCCACATAAACCTTTGGGATAAATAACGTACAATGAAATCAGTTGTTCCCGACTATACCTTTTCTGGATTACCTGACATCACTGAAAGGATGAATTATCCAACATGACGCCAGACGAAATTGTCTTCTCCTTTCTTTAGTTATAGCAGCCATACCAATAAAATATTGTTGACATTTTGGATGATTTTCGCTAATGCTACACCATAATCTTAATTTTCGAAACCATGAAACACATCCTACAGATTCAGATGAAAAACCGCCGAATTGGTTATTAGGTCTTGATGATAGTAGCGCACATTTATGCTGAGCAGGCATTATTGTATTGTATCTTAAATCTTTTTTCGTCACTGTTAATTTTCAACATTTAATGACGTTGTTTGATTTAAACGAGTTGAAGATTATTCATTTGTCCTTCGGCCAAAAATGTAATTTTCGCTCCAAAATTAGTACTACCGCTCGTGCGGCATTTTTTTGAACTAAATAAAAAAAATATACTCAAAATTTGTGTATTTTTTCGGATAACTAATTTGTCATAAACAGTGGCTATACCAATTTTTAATTACATAAAACAGGCAAACTATTCCACACCCATGCTCATATGAATCGGCGAATTTTTTAATTCTGCTAATTCTAAATCGTAATTTCAAAGAATTTATAAAATGTTTCCATATGCAATTTGATTAGGCAATTGTTTTTACATATATCCAGTTTGCAAATAAATCGGTACTATAGCACAACAACCCTTCGTCCTACCAGAGAACATATATTATGTTCTACATAATATGTTCTATGTTCTATCTAATATATGTTCTATCTAATATAGGACCAGAGAACATATATTATGTTCTACACCTTGCCATTACTGAAATTGAAAAATCTGACGGCTTCAATCTTGACAGATCGCAGCTGCAAAGCTTCCTGAGTTACTGAGCATCGCCTTGTCAATTATTATATCCGGCCCCGTTACAAATTATCATCAATCTAAACCAATTAATCGTGTTTCCTCTCCACAAATTCATTTCAATTTAGTCCGTAGTGCCGACAGTATCACCTACGAAACGGGATCTACAACTCGCACTCATTTATATAAAAAATAAGTAAAGGATCTGAATATTACATGTTCTCGAATAAGATATGGACCAGCTTGAAGATTTTCAAAAAGTTCTCCAGGACTTCAGTCCTCTGCTGAACTCTTATTGGGCCTACGCCGTTGGTGCTGTTTTGGGAATACTGACGTTTATAAGGTCTTTGAATTTTTTAGTAATCATTTAAACAATCAAGTGATATCAACCGTTCTATATTTTAGTTTCTTTACTTGAAATTTATTTAAATATGTATTTTCATACGTGGCCTTTGTTTAAAAATGGCTATCTTGAAAATGAAGAGTTACGAGTAACCGAAGTTTCAGATCTTACATGGCTGGTCCTAATTGTCCAAATGAAGAGCGTATCGATGGCAAAATCGTCATTATAACTGGATCATCTAGTGGTATCGGTAAAGAAACAGCATTAGAATTAGCCAGAAGGGGAGGACACATTATTTTAGCTGTAAGAAACGAAGAAACAGGAAAAAAAGTGGCTGAGGAAATAAATACAATGCCTGATGGTAAAGCGGAAGTCAAATATTTGAATCTATCATCACTGAAGAGCGTACAGCAATTTGCTCAAAAGTTAGGTACGCTTTTAATACATATTCCATAAATTAAATCTTATACTTATCAACATATGCTTTGGTAGAAATTAACGAAGTGGATATATTGGTGAATAACGCGGGAATGGTATTTCATCCATATGAAAAAACCAAGGAAGGTTTTGAGATGCATTTCGTTAGCAATTACCTCGGTCACTTATTACTGACTCTGTTGCTCTTGCCTAAATTGAAGGCTGCCAAGCAAGGAAGAATTATTAATGTTGCTGGACAAGCACATGCAGTAAGTTCAATACATTTGGAGGATATGAATTTAGAAAAAGACTACACAGCAAGAGAAGCTTTTGGACAAAGTAAACTTGCCTTGATTCTTATGGCGAGACATATGAGTCAAATATTAAAAGGTATTGTGATAGTCCGGGATTTTCAAATCATGTAGCTTAATGTTATATTCATTTAATTGCATCAGAAACTAATGTGACAATTAATGCTACAAATCCTGGTCTCGTGAGAGGTACGAATCACATGAGACGATCTCCAATCAGTTCCACGTACATAATTAAATTGATAATGCAACCATGGATGTGGCTATTACTCAAAAATCCTGCTCAAGGTGCTCAAACAACTGTTTATGCAGCCGTCACAAAGGAGCTAGAACATTATTCGGGAAAATATTTCAGGTATTTCTGGAGATTCTGTTCCAATTTCATACAATGTACTTTAAAAAATGATATATATATCTCTGTTACAGTGATTGTGAATTAAAGAAACCCTCAGAAAATGGTACAGATGATATCATGGCAGAGAAATTATATACTAAATCTATATCTCTAGTCAAATCTTTTATGGTGCTTCGTTGTACAGATTCTACGAGCTAAATCAATAAATTTTTTAATACTGCCATTAGATTGAAAAGCAACATTATCAAATTGTGTGTGCAATGATGAATGAAACATGAATTTGAACCATAAGTTGGAAATTATTAATGTATGAATTGAAATATACTTTTCAAAGAAAAATAAGTAACGTAACGTAAGTGTGATATTTGCGTTTATTCGTTCCTACAAAATGTAAATATCGCCACATCTTTTTCGTATATTTACTACAATTATTTAATAAACTATCTATTTATGTTACCTGACATTTAACTTAGTCCATTTTTCACTTGTCATCCATAACCACTTAGCTAACTTCTCATCCTTTGCTTCTTCTGAGACATCAGTTTCCTTACAATCACTACAATGAAAACAGTTTTGCAAACTCATGTAGGGTTGTTTATTTTGAATAGTTTACCTAAAATATTTGCCACTGACGTCCTTTAACTGCGGTTCTACAGCAGCGTATATAATGGTCTGGGCTCCCTGCAATGGTGATTTGATAAATGGCCATACCAAAGGCCTGACAAAAATTGCACTGAGAATACTATTATAAAAACTCATATAACGAGTGATTTCAGTGTCAACGATTCCTGGATGGACAGCATTCACAGTAACTCCTGTACCTAACAAATGAATAGTACTCGCTATGTAACACATTATCAATATGTATAAAATTCGCAAACCTTCTAATCTCTTAGCCAATTCCCGTGTAAAAAGTACATTGGCCAATTTGCTTTGTGCATATGCTTCACCAGGATCATAACTCTCAATACTATTCAAGTCTGTAACTTTAATCTTTCCACGAGTATGTGCTATACTTGAAACATTAATAATTCTTGATGGCGCAGATGCCTTTAAAGTGTCCAACAATAAATTGGTGAGCAAAAAATGTCCCATATGATTAACACCAAGTTGCATTTCTATTCCATCTTCTGTGTAACATTGAGGACATCGCATTACACCTGCATTGTTTACAAGAATATCCAATTTCGATTGTTCTATGGAACAGACACAATCAAGAGTTTAGCTTTAACATAACACTGTTAAAATATAAATAAATTAAATGCACAGACACCTTTTTTAAACTGATCAACGAAGGTCCGAATGCTAGCATAGGATGCTAAATCACACTTTCTACAATATACATATCTATTTTTAGTTTCTAATACAATCTGCCTTCGTGTCTAAAATGTAAATATCCAAATTACTTTATGAAATAACAATATCTTGTGTCATTTAAATATATATCCAGAAGTTGATTTGATTGAAAATATAATAATTTCATAAATGTTAAAGAATAGATGAATAATTGTACACACCTTTTCACACTTATGCATATCACGACAAGCCATAATAACTTTGGCTTCACGTTTTGCAAAATTCAAAGCAGTTTCTTTCCCAATGCCAGTATTAGCACCGGTAATAATTACTACTTTGTCCGTTAATTTCTGAGTACCTTCATATAGCGTGCCACCGACATATGCTCTGAAAATTCACTTGCGTATATTGAATACATAGCCACATTTTTCATTAAATTTATATTAATTAAAAGTCAATAATTATTCGTGCCAGTATATTAGGAGGTTATAGAAAGATAAATTAATTACTTTATTAAGTAAACACCGCCGACAACAGTTCCTGCAGCGCTAACTAATAAAGCAAGTTTTCCTGTCTTTATACCCATTGTCCCCTATTATTTTATACAGATAAATCAGAAAAATCTGTTTAAAACATGTGGAAAATAAGATTTCATCTAAATATTAGGACTTCAGTAGGGAGTCCTCAAAAGCATCACTTTACGACACTTTGATAATGCCCAGAGATGAGTGGGGAGATGCACAATGCTCCGCTTTTAGGCGACAGAGATGAGTGGGGAGATCTACAACGCTCCGGTTTTAGGCGATACCAAAAGCATGGCGCTAAATGGTAGCGGCGAGTCCGGGAGTAGGATTTCGTGATCGTCGCCTCTATCGATGTTACAGATTTCGCGTAGCCGCCCAGGTCATGATCATCGTTCCAGCCGGTATTGCAGTCAGCGAAAATAAATGGATTGCTCGGTGGTGGGGAAAAAGTTGCCGCCCCTCACAAACCGTTCTTGACAAACAGGCGGGGCAGCAAGGTCTTCAGTCCAACCGAACCCTAAACGTTTGTATGGACGTAATGCGCAAACAAATGTGTATAT